TGCCACGACATGCACAAATGGTTAGATTCCCGAAGTAGCCTTTTTGGGGGAAAAAATTCCAAGGCTCCTTCGCACTACACTCTCACTTATCTGACTCTTGTGGGAACTTAGAAGCAGGGAGCTTAAGCAACGAAGACGACGACGGCAGTGAAAACGTCGCTAAAAATTAATTTGCGTCTTTTTAAAATTTATGGCGTCTATTTGGACCCACTCAATATCTCAAATGCAGGCGTTTTTCTATGGAGTTGAATCCTTAAGGACTTTATCCAAGTTAAAAAGAGAAGGGAAAATTCGTCTAAATATGTTCACGTCCTCCATAAAACGTCACATTTGGAGGTTTCACGTTGTAGTCGTGCAGTAGACGTCAAAGAAATGTACTTAGAGTCCCGCTCATGTCCATTCTTATTGTGCACGTTGATGTCAAGTAATTAGTATAGGTAATCACATGATTTCCAGTGCAATTTGGAATAAATAAGCTTTGGAATAAATAAATAGTATTAATAAGTAATCACATGATTTTTCTCGTGCAATTTGGAATAAGCGCTTGTAAATTTTTCAAAGACCACCAAAAGTGCACGAGCCGGTAGGGTGAGTGCACTTTGTGGTTTTTGAAAAATTTACAAGCGCTTATTTATTCCAAATTGCACGAGAAAAATCATGTGATTACTTATTAATAATATGCACCAAAAACATAACTTCAACAACAAACTTTGACAGCGCACACATTTTTGGTTCATTCAACTGATTGGCTGAAACATACTACTACCTTTGTGAAATTCAAACTTTTTCAAGACCCTTTAAAAATCATTCAGCTAAGAACATGAAAATGTGCAAGGATTGATTTTACACCAGCCTGTTAAAGATAACTTCGTTTACAATAATCAGCAAAAGTTAGTGTTTTTAGAATCATCAGTCCTCGATTATGAAAGCTCGGCGTTTAGATACAAAAAGTATACGGAAGGAAAATAGAAGGAAACACTTCGAGCGGCCTAAGATGAAAGACAGTATAAATTGCTGATCGAGTTGTTTAAGATGTTTAACAACTGTTCATCATTGTCTGTTCCTGAGACCCCATTATTGCTGGATTCATGAAGAAATCTTTGAGATTTAAAACCCGAAAATGAAGGAGGCAATTTGTTCTCTTTCGACGGTGCCATCGATGGGCGAGTGGAGCCACAGTTGCTTGGATGTCGGAAATAGCCAATATTTGTTTTTTTTTTCTCAAAATTTCATTTGGATTTGCAAGAGAGTTGTCGTCGCTCTTCTTCGTCGGCTTCATCGTAGTCGTTGAGGAAATTTATACTTCTGTGGCCCGTGACTTTGGCGATATCTGAGCGTACAATGTTTTCTTTCTTCAGCTTGGTGACTGTTGTTTTTCTTGCACTATGATTCGTAAACTTTTTTCTCACTTACCTCAAGGCTAGTACGAGCTACGGGTTGTTTTCATTATGTTACTTATCGTATTTTCGCCCTTTGGTTTAATTTGAACGAGATATTTGTCATTAAATTTACGGTTTCGTTTACTACTGTGGTAGAAAGAACCAGACCATCGCACGTTTTCATAGAGGTCTTCGCTCGACAAAAAAACTTAAAGAGAGCAACCGGACACCCTTCTCCTCCACAACATACGTGGCTTGAAATCCCTGTTATTATGATGGAAAACTTGTATCTTTGTTCATCTAATGCCTAAGAAGTGTTGCTATCATGACTTGCATGTGGCTGTCACCGTTTTTTTCCTTACTTTTTTCTTAACTTCAGCGTAGTCTGTTTTAAGTAGCAAGTTTAGTTTCTCTGGCTCATTTTCCTCGATTTTGTTGACAGTATTTTTCTCTTAGCACCATATTTTCAATACATTAAGCCAGAAAGACGTATACTTTTCACTATTTTTGGCTTTTTGGAATATTTTTTTACTGTTCTTTTATTGTTTTGCATGCAAAATCAAATAGTTAATTTCGGAAAACCAGGGCCATTTTCTTAAATTTTGTTATTAAAACAGCTCTTATCTGATTGGTTCTCGTTGGTTTCTTTTGTGTTTTCAGCTAATCAGAAACCATTTGTAATTTGCACTCGTGTTACAGGAGAACTATCTCAGCCAATCAGAACTGAGTAATTTTTTCGTGTATATTATTAAGATGGAAAAACAAGGCTTAGCAGACAAGCTCTTATCATTTGCCGTATGTTTTTCTCACAGCTACATTTACTGGACGAACTGGGGCCAAGCGCCTTATATTGAACGTGCGAGACTGGACGGCACCGAAAGAAGAGCACTTGTCTACAATGGTATCAAGTTCCCAAACGGCCTGGCTGTTGACGAGTTAGACAAGAAACTTTTCTGGGCCGGGACAGACGACAATAAACACGGAATTATCGAGGCTGTATCTCTGGATGGTTTAAACCGCAGCGTCATATTCTACGAACAGGGCTACCATCCATTTTGCTTGGATACCTTTGAAGACTATGTTTACTGGGCTGACTGGGGGCGAAATGCGATTTTGCGCATCAAATCTCTCGGGGGTGATGCAGAGGTGATTATTGACGGCTTAAACAAGCCAATGGGATTGAAAATTCTTCACCCACGTGAAGCAAGGCCAGGTACGTATTCTGATACATACAGTAGAAAGACGTTCATCATCTCTTGGGTTTTTTCTTTGTTTTCGTTACCTATAAAAATCTTCCTTATTTAAATTTCTTCTCTCAAAAGGAGGGAAGAGAGGGACTCCTAGCAAAGAGTTTGTAGCGGTTTTTCGTCGAGTAATGCAGCAATGTTGGGCTTTTCAAAACCTTCACTTTGTTTGATTACACAAGTTCCAGATGGCCTGGAGCTTTCGAGTATTACGTTTATTACTTCGTCTTTCCTTTGACGTAGGATGTTGTTCATTTTTCACTCTAGGCAATTCTTGTGATAAAAACAATGGCGACTGTGAGTACCTTTGTCTATCTATCCTTCAAAAACAAAGATGCTTTTGCAAGGAGGGAATGAAATTAAAAGAAAATGGAAAAAATTGTGAGAAATACAAACTTCAAGGTAAGTCATGCTTGTGACCAGTTCATTGGATTTCAATTGTTTTTATCGCTCTTATACCGCATGTCTTTACATTACACCTATTGCCTTCACTGCTTCGTGTCTGCTTAGTGGGTGGCGGTTTTTTTCCCCCACCTTTGCTGAAGAGATATTTAGTTTATTATATATCGGCAGATCTTGAAAATAAAGTTCGTCAGCTTTGGTGGCCAAATTTTCTCCAACCAAATCCGACTCTGTGTTTATCTCCTCAGCAAACAAGTGCGCCGCCACGCAGAGCTCTTGGTCACGCAATGCAAGGTTTTCAGCGTCCTTCTTACCGAAAAAATGGCTTGATATAAAAGGACAAATAGTCCGTGAAGGCAAATCCAGTCATAAATCTGTCAAGGGAACGTTTTTGTATAATCCTTCCCCGTAATTAAGTATTCGACGATAGTCTTGCGGTGTCGTGAGCACTGTCTTAGCGATGGAAACGTATATAACGAGACACCTTCGTATTTTTCTTGATAATCTGAAATTCATCTATTTGTTTCCCATCTAAGGAGAGGAGAAGAATGGTGAATCATTGGATTTCAGCACTCCAATCTTCATCATAGTTATGCTGCTGCTTTTGTTCGTAGCTGTTTATTTTGCATTGAAGAAACGCCCCTCGTGCTCTAGACCCGCTGATCCACCCCGGGTGCCACGCGCGAAAAGGGCGAATGATAAGGGGGTCATAGATGAAGGAATAGAGGAGGAGCTTCCCACAGACCAAACGGAACTTATGGTTGCGGAATCGCAACCAAATAATGAGTCACCTGATTCAAACCAACAACTTTGTAGTTCTGAAGCATCTGGAGTATGCGCATCGCCAGTGAAGGTGAGATCGGCAAAATATTGCTTGTAACAGCACGGCTCTGTTGGTATTAAACTAAAACACACTGCTAAAAGCAACAGCCCATTTTACAGTTGCTGGTAGAGGCAAAGCTGGTGTTGACTTTGTCTTATTAAAATCCGTCCTTTTTTCCTATGTAATTGTTGCCTTTTATGTTAAATATAGTAGTATCTAGGAGGTATGTGTAAAAATAATGTTAATCCCTCGCATTCATTCCTAGGCGTGTGGTTACCATGCGCGCAACTGTTAAGTGGTCCATTGGTTAAGATCCGTACTTTTTAGGAATTGTTTCGGGAAGACGAGATGAATACTACAACAAAAACGAAGGAAAATTGTAGGCTTCTAAAAATACTTTTCTTTTTTAAGTACTTTTCAGAACTTGATCAGTGAATTTATCAGTAGAAAATAGTTATGTACAGTTTTCAATTACAAAGTAACTTTAATTTGACACATTTGCGTAGCGAGCAAAAACTAACTCTTGCAACTTTTTCCTTTAATGCTGCGTTATCTGCTTTCTATTTTAAAATTAAATCCTGCTACTTAAGAGAAATCATTTACGATAACTCTTAGACCGTGATCTAGTGTCGTAAATTTTCCGGCTTCAGTCAAAGAAAAAGAAATTGTTGCACTTCAGAACAAATTATATAGATGTGTTCTGACCATAATAAAAACATTTTTTCCTTTGGTTACAGAGAGATGTAGTGGTTCACATGCACATGAACACAGTGAACACGGTGAACATGAACACAGTGAACACAGTGAACACAGTGAACACAATGAACACAGTGAACACGGTGAACATGAACACAGTGAACATGAATATGAATACAACCAATAACGTGGAAGTTCAACAAAGTGGCGGAGTGACTGTCGTAGGAGACGGGGCGAAAATCAGTTATCATCAGCCCTCTCAAAGTTGAAGTATTATTTCTACGAAAACCATCTCTCATCATTGAGAGTCAAAACGCCTTAATACGGAGGATCAAAGGGACAGCCCAACTATCCGCATCACGGAGCTGTCCCTAATTACAGGAGGACAGATTGAATGAAGTTTGGTATCCTCGGAACACACAACGAGAACTGTACGTAAAAACAGGGTCCTTATTAGAGAGCTCTAAGTGTGGGAGGAGAGGGGGTTCGAATGTGAAAGCTACCACTGATAAGTTTGATTCGATGCGTGCTTTTTCAGAAGAGGTAGTGAAAAGTCCTCTCCTGTTTTTTACAGAATAGCATGAGTACCCCCACCTATTCTGTATTTCCGGTACTTGCTTGGTCGATATTTTCCGTCCTTGGGGAATTCCCATATATGGGCTCAGTATATGAGGATGTGCCACTCAACAGAGTATGCTGTTATTGCCCCTCTCCCTATTATAGACGTAGAGAGATTATAAAGCTTGGCGAGTGTTCCTCGAACGGGATATCTGATACATGTGGATAAGAAGTAACAGCGGAAGAAACTTTTTGGGTGTGCGGACGAAAACAGATACGTTTGCGCGAGAATCGTTGGTTTTCACATGACGTCACTAAAATTCAAACTACAAAACTATCGATCTTACCAAGATTTTACTTTCACGGTGTATTAGGGCAGCTGAAAACTAATTTTCGTACAAATTTTCGCTTCAAAAGGGTTCGTGGTTTTGTGATAGAGTACGTGCGTGACGCAGGATTTACATGACGGCCAGGAGAGTTGTCATGTAGATTAAAAAAATAACTTATTTCAAGGAATTTTGCTATCTAAACAGTTTATGTATTAGAAAAACTATTACTTTAATGTTTATGAGTTCCTCGAAGAATAATTGCACGTTTTTGTAGCAAAACTCGGTAACAGATTTTTCTGTTGGTTTCCGTCCGCCCTGTTGGTGATCATCCGGATGAGTACCAGCATGGCGTCTCCATACAAATCTCTATAAATTTGGGAAAAACATTTCTTCGGATATCTCGTATTCGAAATATTCCTCTGACCTGAATTTTGGCGAGGGTCTTTGCATACTTACCTCCTTTCATTTCCCAGATTCTGGACTTTACCTATTGAACGGTCTTCATTTTTATTTGGATCTATTTTGAATGGCGTGACACTGAAAACCAGCTATAAGTGATGCGTTTTATAGTCAACAATAGTCTTCGACCCATGTGAAGGAAAATGTACCGGAGAGGACCCCTTTTTAACCTAGCAGCGTTGCTGATATTTGATTTTAGCCACGTAAGAGAGCATATTTATACCCTAAATTTTATATATATATTTAACAATTATTCTTTGAAATCGGGGTGAATAGTGGCAAAATATTTACCGAGCCGCGAAAGCGGCGAGGTAAATATTCCCAAAGCCACTATTCACCGAGATTGAGAAGAATAATTGTTTTAGTATATACACACGAAGTGATCTCAACAAAATCAGAAAGGAAACCATTCAAAAGTAGGATTTGATTGACAGATCAAATCACGCGTAAGTTTAAAAATAGATCTTTGCAGAATTTTCAAACATGGCAATTCACAAGTTTACTCATTTCGCAAACAACAGCGTAATGGCTTCAATGGAATCGCTAAAAGTTTGAACTGTTTCCTTACCTGAGAAAAAAAGTAGAGCTGTGTTGTTTTCTGTTGACTCGCCAAGTTTATAGCCAAAAGGGCATGTTGTGTCGTTCTTCGCATGAAGTGCTGACAAAAATGGCGGCTCGGTTGCTCGAGGTAAGAGGTCGTCTTCCTGTATCATTCTTTTTCCTGTTTACTTGAAATGTAGAATTTCTGCAAACATTTCCTTTTAAATTTGTTTGTCATAAATAAACTTCGATTTTTGAGCCAAAATTACAGTGCAAACTCGTTAAAAGATGCAGAGCCAATATATATATTTAGTATATACACACTCAGTGATCTTGGTGATTTAAGCAATCTGATTGGTTCGCTATCTCGGACTATTCAACAATATTCACCTCCTAGCGAGTGGATAATGTGTGAGCTCGGTGTTTTTCCCGTTTTTTTTAGAGAACGATCTTTTAAAAGTCGACAAAATCCTAGGGCTGACTTTTTTTAAGGCAAGAAAAGACTTGGAAGGATTCAATACGGCGTTTTTCAATTTACTGTAGCAGGAGTTTTGTGCTCGATGGATTGTTTACAACTCCCGTGTATTCGCGTAGAAGAAGCCGTTTCGTGAACTCAGCGTTTTCTAAGAAGAAAATTTTGGCTCAAAAATCGAAGTTTATTTATGACAAACAAATTTAAAAGGAAATGTTTGCAGAAATTCTATATTTCAAGTAAACAGGAAAAAGAATGATACAGGAAGACGACCTCTTACCTCGAGCAACCGAGCCGCCATTTTTGTCAGCACTTCATGCGAAGAACGACACAACATGCCCTTTTGGCTATAAACTTGGCGAGTCAACAGAAAACAACACAGCTCTACTTTTTTCTCAGGTAACGAAACAGTTCAAACTTTTAGCGATTCCATTGAAGCCATTACGCTGTTGTTTGCGAAATGAGTAAACTTGTGAATTGCCATGTTTGAAAATTCTGCAAAGATCTATTTTTAAACTTACGCGTGATTTGATCTGTCAATCAAATCCTACTTTTGAATGGTTTCCTTTCTGATTTTGTTGAGATCACTTCGTGTGTATATACTAAAACAATTATTCTTCTCGATCTCGGTGAATAGTGGTTTTTGGGAATATTTACCTCGCCGCTTTCGCGGCTCGGTAAATATTTTGCCACTATTCACCTCGATTTCAAAGAATAATTGTTAAATGTACACTCTCTATAAAAGTTGATGTCATGGTATTTCGATTGCCTTCGAGGTAATAATACATAGCAAATATATAGTTTCAGTGAACACGATATATTAATAATGTAATATTTTGATCCAGTTTTTTAAAAAACAATTTCTATTTCTCCAAATGTTTTGAAAAACTGACTGAAATATTTCCATAAATGGGTAGATATGTTTATAGTGTTTTGTATATTATAGGTATATTTAGATAAGATTTTTCAATATAGGACACATGTGCTGTTAACGCCATTTGAAGTTCAAAATTCGAATTTTTAAATTCGCTGATTTATTTTTTTTCTTAATTGTAGTTTTTTTTGTGCTCCTTTCTTTGACTACTGAACAAATGTGAGGAATACGAAAATTGTTCAGTATATTTTGATCCAGTTTTTTTAAAAACAATTTCTATTTCTCCAAATGTTTTGAAAAACTCACTGAAATATTTCCATAAATGGGTAGATATGTTTATAGTGTTTTGTATATTGTAGGTATATTTAAATAAGATTTTTCAATATAGGACACAGCTGAATTGTGTTTTTCCAGTTTTGTTTTCACTTATAATATATTGATTCACATAAAATTTGTGCGTAGCTGGCTACGCAAACAAAGGTATATTACTTGTTGTTAAAAACGGTAGCTTTACTTTCCAAATTTAACAGAATGATAGCCTCCTTAGCAGACGATGTATAAGCGAGCGAGCACAAACTGGTGACGAAGACCAGGTTTCTTTAATCCATTCATCTGACGGCTTCACCGCTGCTTTGCGAGCGCGAGCTCGCTTTCAAAACTGTCAGGTACGCAAGACTGTGGGGATGATGTATTGAAATAAATTCGATCTTTGAGTTATTTTGCAATGACGTTTCCCTCATTTATCAGAAATGGCTGGGTAAAAGATGACATCAGTAGTTAATACTGTAAACGCTACACTGTCAGGCGAATTAAAAAAGACCTGGCAGGTGTTTGGTTTGCCCACAAAGATTGGTTATGGGGGCTTTACATGCCGGGCTTGAAAATATTTGGGTCTGCATGGGCAGTCAGCTTAATATTTCATATTTTACCTCTCCATCTGCCTCTCCATAGAAAACTGTTCAAAGCAGTATCACAGTTTCTTTCAGAGTGCAATGAGACTCAACCTCTTACTCCTTTATCTCCTTTTTGGTTAAGCCTCCTCTGGCTTATTAACTTCGTCTTTTTAGAACCGTCGTGACTCAAATGAAGGGCAATGTGCCATTGATAACCCTCGCGAATGTATTCAAAAGTTCCTCGCGAAGTGCCCACTGGCAAAAACGAGGTTAATTCCTCGCGAAGCGCCGAGCAAAGTGAGTTTATAATCGCGTCGCGCGCAGTGCGTGGACCGCGCATGGTTCCTAGTGAGCTGAACTCGCAGCGTTCATCTATCCGATGGTGTGCGCCATAACGTCATACAGTACTTTGACGTCACGGCGCATTTTTTGTTTCTAGGCAACATATAACATTTTACTGAAAGCGATTTGCCATCAATGACCGACGTATTCACGAAGAGCTGACTTGTTCATTCATCGTCTGCGAAACAGTGTTTACTATCGGTGAATCTCAAGCGATTTCTAACGCAAATGGAACAGAAAAGCAAACACAAGAACGCTGAATTCAACAACCGGCTGTAAATCCTCGCAGGGGATGATTTGACACCGAAAAATCCTCTGGAGCGAGAACGCCGACTTGAAATCAGTCAACGCGAGCAACGACGAAGGAGACGGCAGCGACAAACAGCGGAGCAGAGACAACATAACTCAATGAATTTCAAATGCTAAAGTTCTTTTTAAGAGCAAATGGAAGCGATTTTGAATAATTAGCCTTAAGATATGAGCGAAAATCGAGGTAACAAAATACGCTTTGCTCGCAGACGAGAGTACGGTATCGGCTTAGTTGGGCTTAATTAAAATACAAATCTTGTATCGGCGCTTGGCTTTTCTTACAGTATTTAAAACTTACAACGCCAAGCGGAAATGAGAAGCGAAGGACATTTTAAAAATGTATTCGATCAGTCCCTCTGCTTTACATCAGTTGAGAACAATATTTTACGTTGTTTTTTTCTTGGTCATGTGACATGACTATTTCAGTTCCTGAAATAGCAAATATTCGAGGAAATGCCTGTAGATTTTAAATTACTTCACGTTTGTTGTTCCT